GTACATATTTTGATATAATTTTAATACAATTTTTTTTTATATATTTGATGATTCGTCGTTTCCATAGTTATGTATAATTGAACTGACGTAGTCTCTTCACATGGCTAACATGAATCAAAATAGTAATTATCCAAATGGAGAATCCATTGAGAGATATATCTTCATGGATAAAAGCGAAGCTGGAAAAAAGATTTTTAAAAATTACATGTTACAATCTTCTATTTTATTACAGGAAAGTTTAATTTGATTGACAGATCTATGTACTTTAGATATAGATTTCAAAAGAATTAGATTTATAATATTTTTATAATACATGTATAATGAATATATGAATTATAATGATGAGATAATAAACAATTTTAAGATAACAATTAATATTATGCTATATTACGAAACATCAATCGACTAATTTATTTTTTCATCATGTTTTAGACCTATTACAAAACAATTTTATTAGACAATTTTATTAAACTATGTATAATGTGTTATTCACTTAACAGTATCAAAATGATCAAAATGATCACAAATTAATGGTCGTAAATAAAAAATAACTATTAAAGTAAAAACTGCTAAATAACATTTCTAATTGTTTAGATTTTTTTTTTAATAAATTTTATTAAATCAAACTTGTATAAATCTAAAAATTGTAAAATTATCTATCTTACCGTTGGATCATAATTATAGTAACATTTGGTTACTTCATATGCTAATTCACAGCCTTCCATTGGTTTTAATGCTGTAAAATTAATAAAGATAAACACGAATAAATTATATATTACGAAACTTTTGATAGAAATTATTTTTAAATATTTCGTATTTTTTGTTAAGAAAATTTTGTATTTAAAAAATTTGTTAGCTTCACTTACTAGTGTCACGACAATTTGATATTGCTTTCATTACAGGATCCAAAAGTTCTTCCAATAACATAATTTCCGCAATTTGTACAAGTGCTTGTTCAACTATTTTGTCATTTTTCATCTAGAAAAAAAGAGACAATTTATTCCTTTAAATAATCATACAATCAAAAATAAATCATATAATTATTTTTTATCCTAAAAAAACAAAAGATGTTTTTTGTGCACAAATTTTTTTCTATCGATATCAATCTTGTTTGAAGTAGAAGATTCGAAATTTAATAATTTAACTTAGAAATGATTGCTAAGTAATTTGTAAAGAAATATTTATGTTTTTCATATTTATCTAATTTATAAATTTATAATTATAGGTTTTATACAGAGCAAATTTAATCAATCATAATTAACATTATGGTTTTTATTGCAAATATAGCTTGTTTTAATTTTTTTCCTAATCGAAGTAGTTTTTCCTTTTCCAATCACATTCGTATGATTTAAAATTTTTAGGTTATTAAAAAGTTATTTATAAAGAATTATTAAAATTTTACTTACCACCTTTGTCATTAACATCATACACTTAAAATAACACTGCAATTTTCGATCAGGTACAAAATTACCTTTGTTTGCATTTTCGATCAGCTCTATATATAAATTAATATTAGAATTTTATCATCTTATTGTATTTTACTTTAAAAATGCATTTTAACACTAACAAAATATTAAATGAATTACACATTATTAAGTTTGTGTAAATTTTTTCTAAATTTGTATATAAAATATTGTATAATATTATTATCTTGATTTTGTGAACATAGTTCAGAACAAGTTCCATTCTATAAGTTTTTATTAAAATATAAAAATATAAAATATAAAAATATAAAGTTTTTTATATGACATACTTGGATCTACTTTCACCCTATCAATGCAAATTTTCTTTATCGGTTGTAGAGCCTCTTTTATTTCTTCGAAAGACATTCTTTTCTGCAGAAATAAAAATCATTTAATCACAAATGGAAAAATGTAATACATTAATATCTAAATGAATTTACAAATTATAAACTAAATACATTAATAAATTAATAAATTCTTCTATTATTTTTATAAAAAGTAATTAAAGCAGTAAAGTAATTAAAGCATATTTTTTACAGGTTATGATATGAGATTTAACAGTATTTAATCATTTTATAGTTTTTAATCTGACACATGCTATAATTTACGGAATAATTTTAAAAATAGTTTTATAATTGTTTTGATATATTTATAATATTAAATATTGAAAAAATCGATAAGAAAGTATTAGAAAATATTTTAACTTTTTTGCTAAGCAACAATATGATCTTTTCTGATTTATGATGAGATGTATAAATGATTTTCATAATTTCTTTCAATTTATTCTTATTGGCACACTTATGCATCCTTTTAAAATTTAGAAACTTACACTTTCGACATTATGAAGAATCATTATAAGCACGAACGAAATGAGAAAGATACCATCGCCTTTCATCCTTGTTATCTCTGATTTTGTTACTTTTTAATTTTTTTTTATCGCGATATTAGCCTCCGATGAATCCGCAACTAGACTTGATTCTTGCAAATCACACACAAAATGCGTTTCATTACTTTTATATACGGAAGTAAAATAGAGAGGGAACCTACAATTTCGTGAGGTGGTACATCCTAATACGTCTAAATTACCGTTTTGGTTAACATAATTAACGATACTTAGCGCTAATACTGTCACCCGAATCTTATTATTATTTCTGGAGTACGAATAATCACAGTATTATGCAAGTTCAGACTTAGGATTTTGAAATTATGAACTTCATGATGCAAAATACGTAAGGAAATAACCGTTAATTTTTAGGAATAATTTTTATTTAAACTTAG